AGAGAGGAGGCCGTTGTGCAGAGGTGGTCGTTAGTGGAGGTTCGACTGTATTATCGTGCAAGTAGAAATTCCAGCGACGAAAAGAAAAATATTGAGTCAGTGCCTATGCACGCTACCATTGCAATTCTGGATGGGACCTCGTTTCTTCTGGATTGTATAATATTCATCCCTGGGTATTGTTATTGATGCCATTATAAAAAGGTATGGAATCAATCTGACCTGGGACAAGCCCGAGATAGACTGAATCGAATATAGGTAATCTGGAACCTGACTTACTCGCTGGGAAGGGCGGGTGGGTCGCCAATCGCCCTTCGTGTCGGACAAAGTGGAATGAATGGGACAAAGCGTGTCAGTGTTTCCTATTTTAGTAAAATCCAACTAGTTATTAATGCTGCGTTCTCATTGGTTGAGCTACAACTAGGCTATATGTTATAGCATACTAGTAGCGAAAAGCGCCGGCTTTTTGGCGGCAGAAGAGGATTAAAGTCTAGCTTTAACTAGCTAAAGTTGTTTTGTCTCGATATTTTTGACCAACTAGTTAGATTTTACCAAAACAATTACTCCTCTCGCCCTCACTGGGGGCCTCTGAGTCATAGCCCATTCGGCCTTCGGCCTCATGGGCTATTGACTCAGAGCCCATTCGGGCTCGAGGAATAATTGTTAAATATATACTCATTTCCATATCATTGATTAATCCCCAGGGATGATATTTACAATTCAGATGGAACGTGAATAGCCACCTTTTTGTGGATGGGGTGGCCTTATCGTTGGTTTTCAAGGCTAAAACGGAAGAGATTCATCTTACCTTGAAAAAAGAGATCTACAAGAACGCCACACCAGATGACGAAATTTTCGACAAACTTCCTGAAAGTGTGGTAAGTGGGCGTTGGAGACACTCGGACCCTAATTCACTGGTCACAAATGTTAACAAAAACGTCGCTTTCGCATTGTTTCAAAATCATCCTGGTAAATCGTATTAGCACAGAGACGATTTCTTCATTAATCCGACGCTTGCGGAATTTCACACTAAGAGAATGTAAAGGATCGAGACACGGAAGGTAGTTCTAAGATAGTTGTAGACAAAAACCTGCTAAGTAACCTTGTGTAACATCAGTGAAATCATCGTCAAAAGAGTTGGGAACGTTTCTACTTTTTTACTTCTTTTTTTCCTTCTTCCTCTCTTCCCCTCGCTCAATGTTGAACAAAAATCAAGTCTGTGCGCGTAATTGTTCTGTTATATTCCAATATTGAATGGGGGAATGGGGTTATTTATTTATGCCTTGTCTTATATGATTTCCTCAAGCGATGAATTCACGCAGAAGTAGGAAAACTCAAAAACAGATGTATCTGTTGGCTTCCGGCGGCCATATTTGTGCCCCTCAAAGGGACGCCAACATGGCGTCTCCATACAAAGCCTTGGAAAAATGGGTAAAAGGTTTTTCCGAATATCTCGCATATGAATTACCGCACAGACCTGATTCTTGGCAAGGCTTTCTGTTTATTTATCTCCTTTCATTTCTCAGATTCCGGACTTTCTGTATTGACTGGTTTGCTTTTTTATTTTTGATAGCGTGACAGTGAAAACACAGAATTGTATTTGTTATTGATTAAAAAGAACTGCAACTCGCATAAACTGCTGAAATCAACCAGCTCTCTGAATTTTGACCCTTATTTGTATATACGTATACTGCTACGTTTTCTATGGGTTAACTCCTATGCTAATGAGCAAAAATGTAGACAGTGACGTCACGAAGAATCCGTATACTCTTGGCATGAGCCTGAACTCCGTCGCGGGAAGACTTGATACTCTTGTAAACGATTACGAAGACAAATTCTTTTTGAAATGGACTCTTAATTTTAATGGATCAAATAATGGAATGTGAACTTTGCTTTCTTATTTTTCTTTTGATGAACTTGTTTGATTCTGGATTCCGTTTCCGTTTCCGTTTTCATTTCCTGAATCTGGATTCTGGATTCCGGATTCCGGATTCCATGTTTAAGGGTTGCCCGATGATAACATCTCTATTTCACTGAAAAGCCATGTAACAACTACATAGGGATGGTATAGACCATTTTGTACCTGCTATAGGTGTACCCGACTTAAAAATATTGTTGGCAGTACTAGGTATACTTCGTCCTCATATATTGATGATGGAAGTACAATGACGACGTTCAAGGTTCGGCGCATGGTCATTCGTCAAAATGCTGTTTTTTCTGCCGGGACATGCTGTATAGTCTATGCAAGCAATATGATCATGTCATAATGTTGTTAAGGAACCCATCCGCACACTCCCCTAGCAGTCACTTACACTTGATAAACTGAAATATTTGCATATAGCTGTAAATTTATCAACCATTTTTTTTTTATTTCATTTGCTATTCCAAAGTACAACAATTACAATTATTATCGCAAAGCATACATGCACAAACGGACTACACACCTAAGCACACGTGCAATTCCACAATCACCACACAAGGTATGCCTACTATTATTTTACAAGTGCTATTCAAAAAAGAAGAAACTAATCATTTTTGTAAAAGAAGAAAAACTAACTAGATTACAAAGTCCATTTGTCCATTAATTTTTGTAGATTCTTATTCTTAGTGCAAATATATTTTTCTATTTCATATTTACCATTTATTCTAACTATAAAACTGTTTATGGTTGGGAGTTGTTCATTCCTTCTGCAACTCCATAAATATATTTTCCCTATAAGTATAAGATAATTAAGCAAGGGGCATTCAGAAGATAAAAAGCCGATCCAAATTTCCTTTAATGTTAGGTGAACTAGTTGTTTTCGCAACACAAAATAATTTGATTCAATACATTTCCAGAATGAATTCCAATAAGGGCAGTCCCAAAAGAAATGTCTAATAGTTTCTGATTCCCTTTTGCAAAAAGTGCACAAGTTGTCTGTCCTGTACCCAATCTTGAACAACTTTAAGTTGGTAAAAAGTATAGAATTAAGTATTTTAAATTGAAAGGCTTTGACATAAGGTTCAAACGCGACAGAATGGGGCAAGAGAAATGCCTTTCTGAGATCGTCATTTGATAGATTAAAATCCAACTTCAGTTTTTGTGCATAATTTGGGAGACAAGCCTTCTTTTTGATCAATAAAGGATAATAATCTTTTGATTTCTTTTTTGCTATGTCGAAAACGCCGCCATTGATTTTAAAGGAAGGTATTGCATTAAAGGTACTCGAATCCGAGCGAATAACAACTTTTAACTTGGTTGGTATTAAACGTCTCATACTAGTCCATTCAAGGAAGTTTGTCTTCTTAACATTTTTTGCGATCTGTTCGTAGGATTCCGTATTGCTGAGATCAAAATGTAAGTCTCCTATTTCCCAGATACCAATGTCGTAATATTTCTTGTAGAAAAAGGGCTTGTCGTTTATTCTAAAGTCTTGATTATTCCAAATTACATAATGCCAATCGTTATTAAGAGCACAATCTTCTCGGAGTTCCGACCACCATTTAAGTAGTTCTAAATAAAAGGTATAGGTAATTTGAAGATCCTTAACATTATAATTGCATTTAAAAAGCATTAGACCTCCAGAATCTTTCAAGACGTATTCAAGGTAGTTTTTCCACGCGCCTGAGTTGTCACTAAATATTCGTTTAAGCCAGGAAAGACGGAGAGATTTTATCAAACTTTCAATATCCACCATTTTGATGCCTCCTTCTTCATAATTATTTATTGTTGACGCTCTTGTTACTTTATCTTTACCTTTCCATAAAAACTTATATAATATATGATTTAAGTCCTTGACAATGTGTTCCGGAGTAGGTAACAAAGAGGAGGTGTAAACGATCTTAGGTATAAGAAGTGATTTGATTAGAGTAACCTTTCCGTAGACAGAAAGCCCCCTTGAGGACCAGATATTGATTAGTTTTTTAATGTCGACGATTTTCTCTGAGAAATTCTTTGAGTGAGACAACTTATGGTCATAGGTGAAAAAGACACCAAGGACTTTTATTGGCTCTATGGGCCTTTTGATTCCTAGAGGTTTATTTTCACTGTTCTTCAGTGATCCTATCTCCCCGGGGTGGGGGGGGGGGGTACTTTAGGAATTTCTTGGTGGGGATGTGCCACTGGGACCCTGGAACCGTTAACCTATACTAGAGCTAGTTCAGCTGAATTTTGCTACCCTATACTAGAGTAAACTCCCCAAATCCCCCCTATCCTAGAGTAGCTGTTTCCCTAATCTGGATAAAATCTTCACCCAACTGATCAGTTTCCTGAAAAATGATACCCTATTCCAGACCCAAACGCTCTGATTTATATACCCTATCCTAGAGTAAACTGCTTGAAAACCAAACCCTTCACAGCGGCACATACCTATATGGCCCATATGTGGCAGTGCCCCCCCCCCCGGTCCTATCCACATTCCTTCCGTCTTTGAACTATTTACCATTAAGCCAGAAAGCTCCTTGAACTTATCAAGCAGTTGGAAGAGTTTTTGAGCTGATTCTTAATCAGCGAGTACAGCAGTAGTGTCATCAGCGTATTGAAGAAGTTTGGTCTCTTCTTGATTTGTTACTATTCCTTTTATTTCTTCGTTAGCTCTGATGGCGATCGCTAAAGTTTCCTCGGCCAAAAGAAAAGGATATGGGGAGAGAGGGTCGCCCTGCCTGACGGCACGTTTCAGTTCACGTGCCAAATTAATCAACCATGGAATGAAACCTTCGGGTCAACTATAAAAGTTCAACGTTTGTAGTGTTGCGTAATCCACTGATTTTTTCTCCGATTTTAGTACTCCTCCATCCTACTTCAGGTTACTCTGAAATACACTTCTAGTTTGAAATACACTCTGATATCGCTCAGATACATGTGAGTGGGATTATTAACCGATAAAATTAAAAATAAATTTGAAAAAAAGTAATTTAATTAACGAGCAAGCACTTAACCGTGAACCTGTCCCTTCAATCATATTCATACTAGAGTTTCATCAATGAGGCGGGACCTCTGAAACGGGAGTTTTATTACGTAATAATCCATGTTTGTTTCACTCATATTCAAAATACTTGTTGGGTTGTTGAATCTCTTTCAACGTTTTGCTTCTCTTCGAGCTGCGACTACCGGAACAGAGAACGGATCGGTCGGTGAGACTACCTCAAAAGCATCCAATTGATTCATGGCAGTTCTACGTCTCATTCCGTTGCTCCTGTTTTTTCTTGAAGAAGTGATATCATGGTGTGCATTTTGTGCCTGTTCGCGCGTCTATGGGCGTTGGAAAGCATCTGCCATATTTTCTATTTGGCGATATTTTTCGTTTTACATCTGCCTTTTCTCCCTTGTATTTTTGGTACTTAATCAAGTAGAAGAGGCATTCATACCACAAGAGCTCGTTGCCCTTATGGTGATATGTTATATCGTAGTCATCGTGGAAAGTCACTTCTCGCTTGATTTGCAGTACCTAAAGAACATTTTGGAAGACGAAACTGTCTCGGAATATATAGACAGGCAACGTCTTCTGAGACCAGACATTTCTGTAAGTGTTGAGAGTTACCATTATGAAGCGGTCAAAGACTTTTACCAGCCATGGACTAAGAAGGAAATAACATTCCAGAAAATCGAGAAGTTTTCGTACACCGCAATGGTTGATGATTCGACATATTCAAGGTACCCAGCTCTGTTAGCATGCACAGCTGGTAGCAAAGCAGCCGCTGGCAGGGTTACGATTGACCATAAGGTCTTCTTAGGCGACCAACCAACACAAGAAGAGTTTATACGTCTTCGAACTGCAATGCTTCCAAAAGTGCCACCAGAATCACGGGATAAAATTACCGATCTCGTCGTTCAAGCTGAAATTCCCGGGGCAAAACGAAAAATCCTGTGTTGCCCAAGCTCTCGATCGATGCCATTCTGGATGCGACCTAGTTTCTTCTGGATTGCCACCTTTTTGATGATAGGTTGGCCTTATCGTTGGTTGTTCAGGGCTAAAACGGATGAGATTCATCTTTCCCTGACGAAAAAGGTTTATAAGAATGCTACACCAGATGAAGAATGTCTCTACAGGATTCCTGAACGTGCAATAAAAGAGCGCTCAGGGGCACCCAACGAGATTATAGTTCAAAACCACTTAAACATAGCATTGGTAAACGTATTGTAGAATTTAAACGGTAGATGTAGGCATATTCTTGTCCCTTAAACATTTTTCATCTGTTCGGATTTCCTAGCTGAAAGTCTAGTGATCCGAAAATTATAGGGATCAAAACTTACCTTTTCAAAAATTCAGCCAAATAAAAGGCTCCCGAAAATTCTAGGTGATCTCTTTAGGGGTAAAAATCCGATAAAAATGGGAAATTATACCATTTTTTAGATGTTCGAAAATCCTAGGAGAGGCAGGCAAGCAAGAAATTTTACAACAAATGTTCCGAAAATTCAAGATCTCAAATCGTCTTCCGAACAGATATTTTCTGAAAATTGACGTTGGGTGCCCCTGAGCGCTGGCAAGACTCGCCGTTCAATGTTAACTTAAATACATGATTTTTTAAGCTAGATGTTTTGCTTTCCCAGGGGACTCTTCACTCTTTGTCTCTTCATAAATAATCTGTAGATATGCACGTTACGTAATTAGAAAGCAACAGTCCTCTAAGAAACCTCCGCAGCACTGTTAATAAAAATGTTAATTCTTTTTATAGCTGCATCACCGCCGGTTATGTCTAAATAGATTCTGGCGTTACATTAATTGACCTAACTTGAAAATTAAAAGCTATTTTAGTTCTAGACTTTGCCTCTCCCGCCATCCTCGGGCATAGGCTGTCTGCGCAGTCAATCGGAAAGAAATTTATTCATAATGGGTTACGTAACCTTTTTGGGTAGGTGTTGCATGGTATGTTGTAACAATTGTTCATTAGTGGAGGGGTAGTGTATCTATGTGCGGTGCTTTCATTTTATATTCATTCATGTCATTCGACCGTCCCTACGCCCTCAAAATTAAACACCCAATGATTGTCAGTTTTTCACATACGTATTTACAAGCCACCATGTGTAAGATTCAGCGCCTTTATTGTATCATTGTCATAAGAGCATGGTACAGATTAGCTTGTAGTCTCTCATAGGCCATTTTACAGTTGTGGGCTTAGTGTCCTTGCCACTGAGTGAATGTGAGGCTGAGCTTGTTTTGATACAAACTCCTTCCTTTTCTTATGGAAATTGAGCTTAAAAATACTAATTAGCATAGGAACAACATGATTTACATAATATAGCAGAGAGGTTTGTATCAAAACAAGGTGAACTCCAACCTCGTTTCCACCTGTAACTGTAAAACCGCCTATTAGTTGTTTTCTTGTTGTATTTTGAAATTTTCCGACTTTCTGCATGTTTGTAAACTTCTTATCGCGGACTTTCCTTCTAAAGACATAATAAAGAGGGCTGCCCACGGCTCATGTTGACACACCCCAATGTCTTTTATCAATTTTTTGCCTCAAAATGACACTATCTTTATTTCTAGTTAACCAAATTCAGTGTTAGATATAAAAATTCAAAAAACGTTATAGAGAAGGCTTCTACTTTTTTACCTCTTTTTTTCCCCTGCCTCCCCGCCCCTCGCTCAGTGTTGAACAAAAATCAAGTCTGTCGTAATAGTTCTGTTATACTCCAACACTGAATGGGGGAATGGGGTTATTTATTTATTCCTTGTCTTATATGATTTCCTCAAGCGATGAATTCACGCACAAGTAGGAAAACTCAAAAACAGATGTATCTGTTGGCTTCCGGCGGCCATATTTGTGCCCCTCAAAGGGACGCCAACATGGCGTCTCCATATAAAGCCTTGGAAAAATGGGTGAAACGTTTTTCCGAATATTTCGCATATGAATTACCGCACAGACCTGATTCTTGGCAAGGATTTTCGTTTATTTATCTTCTTTCATTTCCCAGATTCTGGACTTTCTGCATTGTCTGGTTTGCAATTTTATTTTTGATGGCGTGACAGTGAAAACACAGAATTGTATTTGTTTTTGATTACAAAGAGCTGCACCTTGCACAAACTGCTGAAATCAACCAGCTCTCTGAATTTTGACCCTTATTTGTATACAGTCAACTCTCTCCAAGACGGACACCTTTGGGACCGGCGCTAAGTGTCGGTCTTAGAGAGATGTCCGTCTTATAAAGAGTCAAATAAAGGGAATAAGCAAAGGCAAGGACCAACTCTAGGTGTCCGTTTTACAGAGGTGTCCGTCATATAAAGGTGTCCGTTAAGTGAGAGTCGACTGTATACGTATACGGCTACGTTTTCTATGGGTTAACTCCTACGCTAATGAGCAAAAATGTAAACAATGACGTCACGACGAATCCGTATACTCTTGACATGAGCCTGAACTCCGTCGCGGGAAGACTTGATACTCTTGTAAACGATTACGAAGACAAATTCTTTTTGAAATGGACTCTTAATTTTAAAGGATCAAATAATGGAATGTGAACTTTGCTTTCTTATTTTTCTTTTGATAAAGTCGTTTGATTCTGGATTCCGTTTCCGTTTCCGTTTTCATTTCCTGAATCTGGATTCTGGATTCCGGATTCCGGATTCCATGTTTAAGGGTTGCCCGATCATAACATCTCCATTTCACTGAAAAGCCATGTAACAACTACATAGGGATGGTATAGACCATTTTGTACCTGCTATAGGTGTACCCGACTTAAAAATATTGTTGGCAGTACTAGTTATACTTCGTCCTCGTATATTGATGAATGGATATACAATGACGACATTCACGGTTCAGCGCATGGTCATTCGTCAAAATGCTGTTTTTTCTGCCGGGACATGCTGTATCGTCTACGCAAGCAATATGATCATGTCATAATGTTGTTAAGGAACCCATCCGCACACTCCCCTGGCAGTCACTTACACTTGATAAACTGAAATATTTGCATATAGCTGTAAATTAATCAATCATTTTTTTTTT